CAAAATATTCCTCTCCTCTATTCACACACTTGTCCCAGCGGTGTTTCCACTTTATCATACAGTTCTAGAAAGCTTCTTTTGGAATATCCTTCAAGCCAGTGATGAATTCTTCTTAACCCATTAACCGCTGAATGCACTGGAATTTTACCTCGAGTTCAGCGTTTATTTTTCGTATGAAACATATAAGGAAAAAAATCGAGAATACATGAATTTTATAGTTTCAAGGTCGCTCTTTCGAATGGCGATGAGAAAATTTTCAAAAAATTGCAATTTCCAATATTTTTTTGCAAAAATATGTAAAAAATCATGATTTTCAGACTCATTTTTTTTCGTTTCTCATAAAATTTTTTGTCAAAACGCATTTGTATTGACTTAAAATAAGTCATAAACGTGCACCCGATGTGTCCACTAAAGGAATCCATCATACTTGATTTTTTTGTCTTATTAACAAAATGGCGGTCGATACGACGACATATTTGTGCGTTTTTCAAAATTGCCCATCATCTAACATGAAAGTAATTCTATTTGAACAAAACTCATTACTCAGGGGTTTTTGGGGTCGCTGATTACGAATCTGATGTTAGTTATGTTAAATTCAAAATGGTGGATCCAATATGGCGGACCCAAAATATTAAATATTCATCGATTTTTGTGGTTTTCAGTATCTTTATGGTTTTTCAGTCGCTGATTCCGAATTCATGATCAGATTTTCGAAATTCAAGATGACGGACCCAATATGGCGGGCGAAAAATATTAAATATTCATCGATTTTTGTGATTTTCAATATCAGCATGTTTTTTGGGTCGCTGATAACGAATTTGTGGTCAGATTTTCAAAATTCAAAATGGCGTGTTCAAAATAGCGGGCACCATTTCTAAAATTTCAAATTACGCATATGAAAAAAATTTCTTCGTATTGTATGCAAAATTGTCAGGAAAAAGTGTCTCTTGTGATTTTTATCTAAATCACACTGTTTCCGAGAAAAAAATTTACGACATTTCCATAATGCAATGATAAGACTCAAATCATAGACAAAGATTTCATAGACAAAGATGAAATTCATGTACTCTCGATTTTTTTCCTTATATGTTTCATACAAGAAATAAACGCTGAACTCGAGGTAAAATTCCAGTGCATTCAGCGGTTAATGGGTTAATGTCATCAACGCTGTCGAAACGGTCCTTTCAGCACTGATTCAGAAACCGAAAATAACAATTATCATAAAAATTTGATTTAAAAAGTCATTGATAAAAAGTTGGTATTTATTCACAGGAAAGACAATCATCACTAAATATTAAAGAAATTGTTCAATAAATGTAATATCAAAACGTATAATAATTTTAAATAACAAAATCTCCTGTATAAATCAAATATAAACCGTACAGTAACATTGTAAACATAGTGAGCCTCCTCATTCCCGGTATAAATATTTGCAATTTTAAAAAATCTATTTAATTTCTTCGAAATTAACCTAGATTTTCTTAGTTTCGGATTTACTATTAAGGGGAGTTACCGACGGAACACTCATTTCGTTCTTCTTATATAGAATAAAAAATCCTTTTCCAGAATAAAAGTGAAAACACAAACAAGTCCGGAAAAGTTCAAACCGGTATGAGAATCCCCCAAAAATTGCCACGTAGGTTCTTTCTTCACATGCAAGAGCATATATCTAAACAAAAAAGGTTTTTCCGGATTTGACTAATTTATAAGATTATCATGAGACCTTCAAATTATGATTTTGAAGCTTACAAAAGAAATGGCACGAGAAATATGATTTGAGTGTACATAACCTCATTATTCAAGCTATCTAGAAGTTATCTATAAGATCCCAGATAGCCAAACCCACCAAAAGCATGCATTGCAAATTTATGCTACATATTATAATGGCAAAAATCGAGCAGCAGTCGAACACGGTTTATCGTTTCAGTATAGCCATAACAGAAATACAGCAAAAATAGAGCAGACCTGCGTCATAGTACACTAGCAAAAATTCTGTAAAAATTCATCAAATTTTGCCGAAATAAAGCAAGCAGAAATCGAGCAATACATGCTGACAAAATAAATTAACAAAAAATAGATTAAAACTTGATATAAAACATGACTACATATTAAATCAGCAAAATGTTGTTAAAAATCTGGCACACTTATTGTCATATTATGACAGCAAAAATGCAGCAAAAATCGAGCACAGCCTGCCGTCACGTCGTGACTACAAAAACGCGTCAGATATAGAACGTGATCTGCCCTATCAGCCATTGGCCTATAGTTTACACCTAACGACCTGACCTATACCCTAACCTATATCCCACCTAAGGAGCGTTTACCGCATATAGACCTATATTATTTTTGGGCCTAATGTAGGTCGCATTTAGTCTCACGTTTCTTAGTACACTTTACGCCTTTAGGCCGTTTGCCTGCGCCCTGCGTTTACATGCGTTAAAGCTAGATAGGTCGTGCGGCCTAAGAGAGGTCAGGGATCTTGAAAAAGATCCCTCACCTAAGCGAGGTTACAGCTATTTACACCGTCGCGACTTGTCGTGTTTAGGTTAGATTTAGAGTATAAGTGGCGGCCTAAACGTAGGGTGTAAACTAGGCCATTGATGGCAAAGACGCAGCAAAAATCATAATCTGTCTATTTATATAAATTGTCTACTTAATAAAATATTTTTATTGAAAGTATATATAGACAATTCGAAACATCTCTGTCAATAAGGTAACAGTAGAGCAGTACGTTAGGTAAACGACTCAGAACTGGACCGTGGATCGAGTCATGAGTTCAAATCCTATCAGGTTTAAAAGTTTTTTCCTAGGTATTATTAGTCAGTTCAGCACTTTTAAGGAGAGGACACAAATGTGATGGAGAAAGAAATCTAATTAATAAGAATTTAATTAAATTAAGAATTGCTGTAACTTTTTTTTCGGCAGTCTATGCGCGATTTTTGCTGCGTTTTTGCTATCAATAGCTAATTAGGTAGGTCGTATTCTATATCTGCCGCGTTTTTGAAGTCACGACGTGACGGCAGACTGTGCTCGATTTTTACTGCGTTTTTGCTGTCAGTACTGGTTATGTCAGGTTAAGATTTATTTTTACCGCGTTTCGCTGTCACGATGTGTTAGCAAATAATGATTGATTTTTGTTGTATTTTTATCGTTGTATTATGTTGGCAGGCTAAGCTGTTAGAAACTAAGCTTAATGAGGAAGCAGCAGCTTGATATCTGCTGTAACGTCATGATCAAGTTTGCTGGCATACTGCTGGCATACTGCTAGCATTTTGCTATCCGGGTGTATGTATACAGGGTGTTTGATAATTAGTGAAACATATTCCGTACAGGGGGTAGAATGGACTAAACTGAGAAGAAAAGTCCTATACCATTTTACAACTGTTACAGTAGTTAACGAGATATTAATTTATAAAAATATTTAAATTCTCCCGGCCCACTGTCAAATGCAAGCGCGCGGCTGAATAGGACCGTCCTGCAAAGCACGCCGCGCGCGTTTGCCGTCGCTACGCGATTCATGTCTAGCGAGGACGCTTGTTATAAACAACGCCTAGCAACGGCGAACGCGCGCGGCGTGTTTCGCTGGGCGGTCCTATCCAGCCGCGCGCTTACATTTGACGGTGGGCCGGGAGAATTTAAATATTTTTATAAATTAATATCTCGTTAACTACTGTGACAATTGTAAAATGGTACAGGACTTTTTTTCTTCTCAGTTTAGTCCATTCTACCCCCTGTACGGAATATGTTTCACTAATTATCAAACACCCTGTATAATGTGCATATATCGCAACCATGGACCTAAGAATCTATGGACGGGGCGTAAAGTGAGTTCGTAGGCAAGGGGGTTGACAAATTTGCAGTAAGGGGAGTGAGTGCGCTGTCCTTTTTTATCCGCTTAACATCTTTTTCTACAAGAAGACCCAACGGCTGGGTAACGAAATTAACCGAAGACATTCGAACGTTCCGAAGGTACATACATACTCAATTCAAGGCATACTGCTGGCATACTGCTAGCATTTTGCTATCCGGGTATACATATTAGCATTTGCGTAAAATCATCTGAGCTTGACTCCTAGTGCCTTTTTCTCTCCAAGAGTTTATATTAAATATAATACCCATAAAATATCAACTTTTATGTATTCTGGCTATGAATAACCATTATATAAATGATCAAAATTTTTTTAATTGGAAATAACTATTGTTGATGTTAGAAATTGTTTTGGTTACAGAATAACCATTACTGTGTATGTGTGCGTGCGTGCGTGCGTGCGTGCGTGCGTGCGTGCGTGCGTGCGTGCGTGCGTGTGTGTGTCGATGACAGAAATTGTTTTTTATTATAACAGTTCTGTAACTGTTATAATCAAAAACAGTCTTTGACTGATTTTAATTTTGAGAACAAAAAAAAATCCCAAGGAGCAAGATGTAGGGAGTAGGGACGCAAATTTCAACGTTGCATCGTTATTCCCGTAAATCGGACATCGCGAAAATTGCCACGAACACTAAAACACGTTGTATTTAAATTGCAATAACTCTGAAACTAAACGTGATGTAAACAATGTGAAAAAAGCTGGTTACTCGGAAGATTATGACAATTGTAGTACTGCCAACCGTACATCACTCCGTTGCCTAATAATTCAAAAAGTTCGGTTATTTTTTTAACAGACCTCGTATAGGCATGTTCTAGTCATATTAAAATGCTTATTTAACCTTTTTCCATTAACCATTTGCGAAAATAGACAATTGTAAATAATATTATTAAGATTAATAATGTTTATTAGAAAGTAAAAAAAAATAGATTGTCACTGTGCTTCGACTTTGTTAACATTTTAATTCGATCGTCTTTATGTGAGATTGTATTGTAATAAATAAGTGTATGATAATAAATGTGTAAACGTTATGTTTATGTATCATGTTTTTTAAATATATGTCATTTGACTATTAGCGTGGTGTCTAGTAAACTTGTGCACGGAGTAAATAATAATTATAATTGATACTTCTTAAAAATATATAAAAACATTTTACAATTTATTTTGCAGCTCCCGGTACATACAGTCCTGAAAAAATAAATCTGTCTAAGTCGCCGCAATATAGTTTTGGCACTAAAACTGAGATCTGTGAAAAAAACACTATACCAGGTGGGTTATCATTATTAGCGTCCTTCATAATCATTTTCTTTACATTAATATTCTAACTTTATATTCTCTTCAATGAAAAATTTTCTTAAAATTCTTCATTTTTTAGAATTTTAATATAAATTTTATAACATTTTATAAAATTTCTCAGATTTTTTTATATAAATCAGAACATTTTTTAGAGTGGGAGAGAAAAAAAACTAAGAAAAAGTATTTCTACAATTTTTTATATCTCAAATTCTAATGTATTCTACGATTTTTCATCACATATAATTTCTAAAGAAAATTTATAAAATTTTAAGAGAAATTTTATGATATTATTTTAGAAACATTTATAAATTTAAAATATGAAAAATTCTGTAAAACATTAGGAGATATTATAAGAATTTTTTCACCTGGGTTCTTATAATTTATTATTATGTAATACATAATATATTTTCTAAGTTAATTATTATTTTAGTATATTAGTTAGTATTATTTAATGAATACTCTAGGTCCTGGCGAGTACAGTCCAGAAAAGACGATGCTTTTATTGGAAAAAGCATTGCAATTTACTTTTGGTTTCAAACCGCCCTTGAACAGATCAAATGATGTTCCAGGTAAATAATTAATGAATTCCATGTATAGTAAATATAATATTGCATGCTATATATGAAGCATGTTAGTATAGCCACAATTTTATTTGCGTATATTGAGATGCATGGAATACAGAATCACAATAATTAGTTTTAAAATAGATAATTGGTATATTTAATTATTCTGCTTTTCATCTATAATTTAATGACTTTTATTCGTACATTTTGTACTCTGTAAAATATTTAATGAGATGCAAATCTTTGTCAGAAATGTAATTTCACATGACATTATATGCTATGGACTACTATACTATAAAAATGCAAAAAAAAAAAGAAAGAATACGACGTAAATGGTGGATGAGATTATTAGATAATAAAAGAATTATAAATTCTGAGAGAAGAAAATAGATTGATTAAATTTCAGCACCCAATATCTATAACATTCCTTCTGCTCTCGGCGGAACTAAAGAGGGTAATAAGAAAGCAGCACCTGCCTATTCAATATCTGGTAGGCAAAAAGTTTTTATGGACGATCGTGTTCTCGTACCTGGGCCGGGTGCATACGAGTGCATTAAACCAGACACAATCAGAGCGAAAAGTCCAGCATATAGCATGAGTGCGCGTTTTCCGCTGCCCGACGATCACTTGCAGATTCCAGGACCTGGAGCACACTGCCCGGAAAAGGTATCGTGTAGATAAAGCAAAATCTATTAAAATGTAATATAATATATAGATATTTAAGGGGGCATATACATGTATTGAAGCTTAAAAAAAAAAGATATTCTTCATGAATTTTTTTTAGAACCAAGAGACAAATTATAAAAATGGGATTTTTTGCATAACAGATTACACCTTTTGTAATTCTCATATAAATTATTTTAGAGTAATTTTGTTGGAAAATCCCCCCACTTTACTGTCGTGTAGTTAGCCGTGTACGCCACGTATGATTCCGCGGTGACAATGATTTCTCTTTACCCGTTTATCTGAAACGCAAAAATCAAACGGCATCTTAAAGAAGAGTAAATTTCCTTGTCGTTGTCGTATCCGATTTTAAAAATTCTAATTTTAAACAAAATGGCGAACTTTTAAAGTTAAAGTGCCAATTTTCGACAAAAAATTTAATTTGTTTATTTAACAAAAAATAGAAAAAATTCGAATTTTAAAGATCGGATACGACAACAACAAGCGAATTTTATAAGCTTTCAATAATAAAAAAAAAAAAAAAATCGGTGGATCCGTCTTCAAGTTATCATTGTCACCAATTTTAAAAACATGGTTTTGAGAAAAACGCGTTTAAAGTTTTTAAACAGCTTTACTCTATTGTAAAACTAAATTTATTCAATTCACACGTCATCGTCAATTCCTGGGCCATACAGGGAACCTTCCTGCTCAAAATTTGCCTCCATTTGATAATTTTTAGCGAGGCGGCGACTTATACGGGCTTCCCGCGTCGCGTGCTGTGCCCGGACGTTCGTTTGGTTACATCGCTGGGAGTCGTTTTGTGTTGCTAATTGAACCGCGTTTCGTCCTATCCTCATTCCCATTGTCTTCATTATTTGTAATAACGATGTTGTCCCTTTATTGAATAAACAAACAGCAATATAGGTCGTTTGAACGATTTCAATGCTGCTGTTTATTATCTTCGATGCTATCTTTCAGATCATGTTGTTGAAACTTTTGTTTACATTTTGGGTGAATCCACCAAGGCAACGTTCTAGCAAATTATTGTTGGACAGATCTTCATATATAGGACGGATTGCATTTAAAACATCGTCGGGTAAAGTTTGATAACTTCGCTCGTATTTGTGCAAAGTATTGTACGTATTCTGACACGTCAAAATGGTGCTAATTCTCTGTACGCAATTTCAGAAAATTCGCAGCCTTTTAACGTGTCAAAATATGTAAATTCAATTCTGCGACAATGCCGTTAGATTCTGCAATAGTCAGTTGTAGCGCTAATAAATGACGGAAGATATGTTTTGCGAATATTTTTGCTTCAACGTTAAATAACTCGGTGAAAAAAACAGCTCCAAAAGTAAATTATAGGTGAAGATTCACTCTTTCGAAAGATATAAATGGCATTTGTGCATAATTTTTAATTCGTACCGTACAATTTCACAACTTTTGTATAAAATTTTAAGATTTGATGCATCTTCATTTATGTTTGTGTAACTTTATGAAATATCGGCGAGACCGTTTTTTGAAGTATCTACATTTCAATTTCAAAGGGAAGTTATATTGTAAGTAGAACAAAAAAAAAACGTTATATAAGGTTTCAATTCTTCTATCGGCACGGCGCGCCTGGGCGCGCCGCTTCAGAGTAGAGAGCCTATAATCAGAGTGGCGCCATAAGAAAGATTACGCCATGTTTTAGCGAAATTCTGCAAGAGAGAAAGAGATATACACGGTTACAGTCTACCCAATAGTACTGCCACAGTATGTCAGTTTTAGGTGTAATAGCCAGCGTACAGACACATTGATAGAAATTAATAGCTTGCTTATTAAACATTAAACAGTTATAGGACTCTGTACACGGTCAGTAATACTGTCAATATCAACGAATATTGACAATATTATTGATTGTGTGTGGTTAATATTAATGGATTGACGTTGAATACTGACGATGATTTGGATTTAAATACATATGCTTTTTTTTTCTTTAAGATCCATGTCGTCATAGATGATAATATACGTCAAATCACGTCAAACTGAAGTAAAATATTATCAATATTACCTGATCGTATAAGATTGTAAAAACTAACGCATACTGTCAGTAATACTGATCAGTAATACTGATTCAGTATTACTGATCGTGTAGGGAGGCCTTATAGAAATATGGTTGCATGTACAATACCATTTTGCAATAATGCATTACAAAAAGGATATATTATGAATATAATAATAACATAGCGTAAATAACGTGCAATAAATAACATTGTTTTGTATTAAGTAACATGCAATAAATAACATTATTTTGTAATAAATATATAAAAGTCACATTATTTTGTATACAGTATTTATTTATTACCATTTTTTTTAATTTGCCATAATTTTTTAGCATGAATATAAAATTTAGAAAATAATGCGGTTGAAAAACTGGAGGGAATAGCTAAAACATGGCGGACAAATCACAAGTGATACCCGTATTAGTAGGGGAGGCCGAGAGGTTAAATGTGGATTTACTCGAGCATCATGGGGACCTATTGGATTGTGAAGATTAGATGCTAAAAAGAAAAAAAGGTTATATGATGTATGCCGTTTCAGTGGTGGGGGAGTGTGTACAGGCTTTCAAAAAAAAACAGTGACAATTAATGCAATACTCGAAGCGTGTCAGATATTAATAGTGTAAGCGACCCATGTGTTTCTGATAACGGATAAATATTAATCTGACGGTTTACGTGGTGGGGTTAGCTGTAGGAAGGGGTCAAAAAAGGGGGAAAAAAAAAAAATTTCCAGAGCGCATCTCGAGCGCGTCAGATTTTTGAAATGTACACTTTTCTACATGTAATTAACACACCATACCTTAATCTGATGTGCTCGAGTTTTCGAACGATCTATCTTTTTTTTTATTTACTAATCCCCTGGACCCCCGCGGCTCTATATAGAGGTTTAATATTTGGTGGGGGTACTTATTAGGGTGCAAGCTTTTCCCCTTTATGTTTTCCTGACGCGCTCGAGTAAATCCCAAAATCCCCGCTTGGCCTCCTCTACTATATGGCGCCACTCTAATTATAGGCTCTCTACTTCAGAAAGGGCAAGCGCACGCCTGTGCACTGCCCGACAAAACGTGTTGTAACTTTTCTTTATTTACTGGAATTTCAAAAAACGGTTTTAGGACAATATTCTTGAAGGTTTAAACTGTTGAAAAAATCGATTTTTTGAAACCGACAAATGTATATGCTCCCTTAAGTATATTAATATTATATATACATATGTATATTTATATACATGCACATATACATATACCCAGATAGCCAAACCTGCCAAAAGCACGCATTGCTAATTTATGCTACATATTATATAATGGCAAAAATCGAGCAGCAGTCGAACACGGTTTATCGTTTCAGTATAGCCATAACAGAAATACAGCAAAAATAGAGCAGACCTGCGTCATAGTACACTAGCAAAAATTCTGTAAAAATTCATCAAATTTTGCCGAAATAAAGCAAGCAGAAATCGAGCAATACATGCTGACAAAATAAATTAACAAAAAATAGATTAAAACTTGATATAAAACATGACTACATATTAAATCAGCAAAATGTTGTTAAAAATCTGGCACACTTATTGTCATATTATGACAGCAAAAATGCAGCAAAAATCGAGCACAGCCTGCCGTCACGTCGTGACTACAAAAACGCGTCAGATATAGAACGTGATCTGCCCTATCAGCCATTGGCCTATAGTTTACACCTAACGACCTGACCTATACCCTAACCTATATCCCACCTAAGGAGCGTTTACCGCATATAGACCTATATTATTTTTGGGCCTAATGTAGGTCGCATTTAGTCTCACGTTTCTTAGTACACTTTACGCCTTTAGGCCGTTTGCCTGCGCCCTGCGTTTACATGCGTTAAAGCTAGATAGGTCGTGCGGCCTAAGAGAGGTCAGGGATCTTGAAAAAGATCCCTCACCTAAGCGAGGTTACAGCTATTTACACCGTCGCGACTTGTCGTGTTTAGGTTAGATTTAGAGTATAAGTGGCGGCCTAAACGTAGGGTGTAAACTAGGCCATTGATGGCAAAGACGCAGCAAAAATCATAATCTGTCTATTTATATAAATTGTCTACTTAATAAAATATTTTTATTGAAAGTATATATAGACAATTCGAAACATCTCTGTCAATAAGGTAACAGTAGAGCAGTACGTTAGGTAAACGACTCAGAACTGGACCGTGGATCGAGTCATGAGTTCAAATCCTATCAGGTTTAAAAGTTTTTTCCTAGGTATTATTAGTCAGTTCAGCACTTTTAAGGAGAGGACACAAATGTGATGGAGAAAGAAATCTAATTAATAAGAATTTAATTAAATTAAGAATTGCTGTAACTTTTTTTTCGGCAGTCTATGCGCGATTTTTGCTGCGTTTTTGCTATCAATAGCTAATTAGGTAGGTCGTATTCTATATCTGCCGCGTTTTTGAAGTCACGACGTGACGGCAGACTGTGCTCGATTTTTACTGCGTTTTTGCTGTCAGTACTGGTTATGTCAGGTTAAGATTTATTTTTACCGCGTTTCGCTGTCACGATGTGTTAGCAAATAATGATTGATTTTTGTTGTATTTTTATCGTTGTATTATGTTGGCAGGCTAAGCTGTTAGAAACTAATCTTAATGAGGAAGCAGCAGCTTGATATCTGCTGTAACGTCATGATCAAGTTTGCTGGCATACTGCTGGCATACTGCTAGCATTTTGCTATCCGGGTGTATGTATACAGGGTGTTTGATAATTAGTGAAACATATTCCGTACAGGGGGTAGAATGGACTAAACTGAGAAGAAAAGTCCTATACCATTTTACAACTGTTACAGTAGTTAACGAGATATTAATTTATAAAAATATTTAAATTCTCCCGGCCCACTGTCAAATGCAAGCGCGCGGCTGAATAGGACCGTCCTGCAAAGCACGCCGCGCGCGTTTGCCGTCGCTACGCGATTCATGTCTAGCGAGGACGCTTGTTATAAACAACGCCTAGCAACGGCGAACGCGCGCGGCGTGTTTCGCTGGGCGGTCCTATCCAGCCGCGCGCTTACATTTGACGGTGGGCCGGGAGAATTTAAATATTTTTATAAATTAATATCTCGTTAACTACTGTGACAATTGTAAAATGGTACAGGACTTTTTTTCTTCTCAGTTTAGTCCATTCTACCCCCTGTACGGAATATGTTTCACTAATTATCAAACACCCTGTATAATGTGCATATATCGCAACCATGGACCTAAGAATCTATGGACGGGGCGTAAAGTGAGTTCGTAGGCAAGGGGGTTGACAAATTTGCAGTAAGGGGAGTGAGTGCGCTGTCCTTTTTTATCCGCTTAACATCTTTTTCTACAAGAAGACCCAACGGCTGGGTAACGAAATTAACCGAAGACATTCGAACGTTCCGAAGGTACATACATACTCAATTCAAGGCATACTGCTGGCATACTGCTAGCATTTTGCTATCCGGGTATACATATTAGCATTTGCGTAAAATCATCTGAGCTTGACTCCTAGTGCCTTTTTCTCTCCAAGAGTTTATATTAAATATAATACCCATAAAATATCAACTTTTATGTATTCTGGCTATGAATAACCATTATATAAATGATCAAAATTTTTTTAATTGGAAATAACTATTGTTGATGTTAGAAATTGTTTTGGTTACAGAATAACCATTACTGTGTATGTGTGCGTGCGTGCGTGCGTGCGTGCGTGCGTGCGTGCGTGCGTGCGTGCGTGCGTGTGTGTGTCGATGACAGAAATTGTTTTTTATTATAACAGTTCTGTAACTGTTATAATCAAAAACAGTCTTTGACTGATTTTAATTTTGAGAACAAAAAAAAATCCCAAGGAGCAAGATGTAGGGAGTAGGGACGCAAATTTCAACGTTGCATCGTTATTCCCGTAAATCGGACATCGCGAAAATTGCCACGAACACTAAAACACGTTGTATTTAAATTGCAATAACTCTGAAACTAAACGTGATGTAAACAATGTGAAAAAAGCTGGTTACTCGGAAGATTATGACAATTGTAGTACTGCCAACCGTACATCACTCCGTTGCCTAATAATTCAAAAAGTTCGGTTATTTTTTTAACAGACCTCGTATAGGCATGTTCTAGTCATATTAAAATGCTTATTTAACCTTTTTCCATTAACCATTTGCGAAAATAGACAATTGTAAATAATATTATTAAGATTAATAATGTTTATTAGAAAGTAAAAAAAAATAGATTGTCACTGTGCTTCGACTTTGTTAACATTTTAATTCGATCGTCTTTATGTGAGATTGTATTGTAATAAATAAGTGTATGATAATAAATGTGTAAACGTTATGTTTATGTATCATGTTTTTTAAATATATGTCATTTGACTATTAGCGTGGTGTCTAGTAAACTTGTGCACGGAGTAAATAATAATTATAATTGATACTTCTTAAAAATATATAAAAACATTTTACAATTTATTTTGCAGCTCCCGGTACATACAGTCCTGAAAAAATAAATCTGTCTAAGTCGCCGCAATATAGTTTTGGCACTAAAACTGAGATCTGTGAAAAAAACACTATACCAGGTGGGTTATCATTATTAGCGTCCTTCATAATCATTTTCTTTACATTAATATTCTAACTTTATATTCTCTTCAATGAAAAATTTTCTTAAAATTCTTCATTTTTTAGAATTTTAATATAAATTTTATAACATTTTATAAAATTTCTCAGATTTTTTTATATAAATCAGAACATTTTTTAGAGTGGGAGAGAAAAAAAACTAAGAAAAAGTATTTCTACAATTTTTTATATCTCAAATTCTAATGTATTCTACGATTTTTCATCACATATAATTTCTAAAGAAAATTTATAAAATTTTAAGAGAAATTTTATGATATTATTTTAGAAACATTTATAAATTTAAAATATGAAAAATTCTGTAAAACATTAGGAGATATTATAAGAATTTTTTCACCTGGGTTCTTATAATTTATTATTATGTAATACATAATATATTTTCTAAGTTAATTATTATTTTAGTATATTAGTTAGTATTATTTAATGAATACTCTAGGTCCTGGCGAGTACAGTCCAGAAAAGACGATGCTTTTATTGGAAAAAGCATTGCAATTTACTTTTGGTTTCAAACCGCCCTTGAACAGATCAAATGATGTTCCAGGTAAATAATTAATGAATTCCATGTATAGTAAATATAATATTGCATGCTATATATGAAGCATGTTAGTATAGCCACAATTTTATTTGCGTATATTGAGATGCATGGAATACAGAATCACAATAATTAGTTTTAAAATAGATAATTGGTATATTTAATTATTCTGCTTTTCATCTATAATTTAATGACTTTTATTCGTACATTTTGTACTCTGTAAAATATTTAATGAGATGCAAATCTTTGTCAGAAATGTAATTTCACATGACATTATATGCTATGGACTACTATACTATAAAAATGCAAAAAAAAAAAGAAAGAATACGACGTAAATGGTGGATGAGATTATTAGATAATAAAAGAATTATAAATTCTGAGAGAAGAAAATAGATTGATTAAATTTCAGCACCCAATATCTATAACATTCCTTCTGCTCTCGGCGGAACTAAAGAGGGTAATAAGAAAGCAGCACCTGCCTATTCAATATCTGGTAGGCAAAAAGTTTTTATGGACGATCGTGTTCTCGTACCTGGGCCGGGTGCATACGAGTGCATTAAACCAGACACAATCAGAGCGAAAAGTCCAGCATATAGCATGAGTGCGCGTTTTCCGCTGCCCGACGATCACTTGCAGATTCCAGGACCTGGAGCACACTGCCCGGAAAAGGTATCGTGTAGATAAAGCAAAATCTATTAAAATGTAATATAATATATAGATATTTAAGGGGGCATATACATGTATTGAAGCTTAAAAAAAAAAGATATTCTTCATGAATTTTTTTTAGAACCAAGAGACAAATTATAAAAATGGGATTTTTTGCATAACAGATTACACCTTTTGTAATTCTCATATAAATTATTTTAGAGTAATTTTGTTGGAAAATCCCCCCACTTTACTGTCGTGTAGTTAGCCGTGTACGCCACGTATGATTCCGCGGTGACAATGATTTCTCTTTACCCGTTTATCTGAAACGCAAAAATCAAACGGCATCTTAAAGAAGAGTAAATTTCCTTGTCGTTGTCGTATCCGATTTTAAAAATTCTAATTTTAAACAAAATGGCGAACTTTTAAAGTTAAAGTGCCAATTTTCGACAAAAAATTTAATTTGTTTATTTAACAAAAAATAGAAAAAATTCGAATTTTAAAGATCGGATACGACAACAACAAGCGAATTTTATAAGCTTTCAATAATAAAAAAAAAAAAAAAAATCGGTGGATCCGTCTTCAAGTTATCATTGTCACCAATTTTAAAAACATGGTTTTGAGAAAAACGCGTTTAAAGTTTTTAAACAGCTTTACTCTATTGTAAAACTAAATTTATTCAATTCACACGTCATCGTCAATTCCTGGGCCATACAGGGAACCTTCCTGCTCAAAATTTGCCTCCATTTGATAATTTTTAGCGAGGCGGCGACTTATACGGGCTTCCCGCGTCGCGTGCTGTGCCCGGACGTTCGTTTGGTTACATCGCTGGGAGTCGTTTTGTGTTGCTAATTGAACCGCGTTTCGTCCTATCCTCATTCCCATTGTCTTCATTATTTGTAATAACGATGTTGTCCCTTTATTGAATAAACAAACAGCAATATAGGTCGTTTGAACGATTTCAATGCTGCTGTTTATTATCTTCGATGCTATCTTTCAGATCATGTTGTTGAAACTTTTGTTTACATTTTGGGTGAATCCACCAAGGCAACGTTCTAGCAAATTATTGTTGGACAGATCTTCATATATAGGACGGATTGCATTTAAAACATCGTCGGGTAAAGTTTGATAACTTCGCTCGTATTTGTGCAAAGTATTGTACGTATTCTGACACGTCAAAATGGTGCTAATTCTCTGTACGCAATTTCAGAAAATTCGCAGCCTTTTAACGTGTCAAAATATGTAAATTCAATTCTGCGACAATGCCGTTAGATTCTGCAATAGTCAGTTGTAGCGCTAATAAATGACGGAAGATATGTTTTGCGAATATTTTTGCTTCAACGTTAAATAACTCGGTGAAAAAAACAGCTCCAAAAGTAAATTATAGGTGAAGATTCACTCTTTCGAAAGATATAAATGGCATTTGTGCATAATTTTTAATTCGTACCGTACAATTTCACAACTTTTGTATAAAATTTTAAGATTTGATGCATCTTCATTTATGTTTGTGTAACTTTATGAAATATCGGCGAGACCGTTTTTTGAAGTATCTACATTTCAATTTCAAAGGGAAGTTATATTGTAAGTAGAACAAAAAAAAAACGTTATATAAGGTTTCAATTCTTCTATCGGCACGGCGCGCCTGGGCGCGCCGCTTCAGAGTAGAGAGCCTATAATCAGAGTGGCGCCATAAGAAAGATTACGCCATGTTTTAGCGAAATTCTGCAAGAGAGAAAGAGATATACACGGTTACAGTCTACCCAATAGTACTGCCACAGTATGTCAGTTTTAGGTGTAATAGCCAGCGTACAGACACATTGATAGAAATTAATAGCTTGCTTATTAAACATTAAACAGTTATAGGACTCTGTACACGGTCAGTAATACTGTCAATATCAACGAATATTGACAATATTATTGATTGTGTGTGGTTAATATTAATGGATTGACGTTGAATACTGACGATGATTTGGATTTAAATACATATGCTTTTTTTTTCTTTAAGATCCATGTCGTCATAGATGATAATATACGTCAAATCACGTCAAACTGAAGTAAAATATTATCAATATTACCTGATCGTATAAGATTGTAAAAACTAACGCATACTGTCAGTAATACTGATCAGTAATACTGATTCAGTATTACTGATCGTGTAGGGAGGCCTTATAGAAATATGGTTGCATGTACAATACCATTTTGCAATAATGCATTACAAAAAGGATATATTATGAATATAATAATAACATAGCGTAAATAACGTGCAATAAATAACATTGTTTTGTATTAAGTAACATGCAATAAATAACATTATTTTGTAATAAATATATAAAAGTCACATTATTTTGTATACAGTATTTATTTATTACCATTTTTTTTAATTTGCCATAATTTTTTAGCATGAATATAAAATTTAGAAAATAATGCGGTTGAAAAACTGGAGGGAATAGCTAAAACATGGCGGACAAATCACAAGTGATACCCGTATTAGTAGGGGAGGCCGAGAGGTTAAATGTGGATTTACTCGAGCATCATGGGGACCTATTGGATTGTGAAGATTAGATGCTAAAAAGAAAAAAAGGTTATATGATGTATGCCGTTTCAGTGGTGGGGGAGTGTGTACAGGCTTTCAAAAAAAAACAGTGACAATTAATGCAATACTCGAAGCGTGTCAGATATTAATAGTGTAAGCGACCCATGTGTTTCTGATAACGGATAAATATTAATCTGACGGTTTACGTGGTGGGGTTAGCTGTAGGAAGGGGTCAAAAAAGGGGGAAAAAAAAAAAATTTCCAGAGCGCATCTCGAGCGCGTCAGATTTTTGAAATGTACACTTTTCTACATGTAATTAACACACCATACCTTAATCTGATGTGCTCGAGTTTTCGAACGATCTATCTTTTTTTTTATTTACTAATCCCCTGGACCCCCGCGGCTCTATATAGAGGTTTAATATTTGGTGGGGGTACTTATTAGGGTGCAAGCTTTTCCCCTTTATGTTTTCCTGACGCGCTCGAGTAAATCCCAAAATCCCCGCTTGGCCTCCTCTACTATATGGCGCCACTCTAATTATAGGCTCTCTACTTCAGAAAGGGCAAGCGCACGCCTGTGCACTGCCCGACAAAACGTGTTGTAACTTTTCTTTATTTACTGGAATTTCAAAAAACGGTTTTAGGACAATATTCTTGAAGGTTTAAACTGTTGAAAAAATCGATTTTTTGAAACCGACAAATGTATATGCTCCCTTAAGTATATTAATATTATATATACATATGTATATTTATATACATGCACATATACATATACCCAGATAGCCAAACCTGCCAAAAGCACGCATTGCTAATTTATGCTACATATTATATAATGGCAAAAATCGAGCAGCAGTCGAACACGGTTTATCGTTTCAGTATAGCCATAACAGAAATACAGCAAAAATAGAGCAGACCTGCGTCATAGTACACTAGCAAAAATTCTGTAAAAATTCATCAAATTTTGCCGAAATAAAGCAAGCAGAAATCGAGCAATACATGCTGACAAAATAAATTAACAAAAAATAGATTAAAACTTGATATAAAACATGACTACATATTAAATCAGCAAAATGTTGTTAAAAATCTGGCACACTTATTGTCATATTATGACAGCAAAAATGCAGCAAAAATCGAGCACAGCCTGCCGTCACGTCGTGACTACAAAAACGCGTCAGATATAGAACGTGATCTGCCCTATCAGCCATTGGCCTATAGTTTACACCTAACGACCTGACCTATACCCTAACCTATATCCCACCTAAGGAGCGTTTACCGCATATAGACCTATATTATTTTTGGGCCTAATGTAGGTCGCATTTAGTCTCACGTTTCTTAGTACACTTTACGCCTTTAGGCCGTTTGCCTGCGCCCTGCGTTTACATGCGTTAAAGCTAGATAGGTCGTGCGGCCTAAGAGAGGTCAGGGATCTTGAAAAAGATCCCTCACCTAAGCGAGGTTACAGCTATTTACACCGTCGCGACTTGTCGTGTTTAGGTTAGATTTAGAGTATAAGTGGCGGCCTAAACGTAGGGTGTAAACTAGGCCATTGATGGCAAAGACGCAGCAAAAATCATAATCTGTCTATTTATATAAATTGTCTACTTAATAAAATATTTTTATTGAAAGTATATATAGACAATTCGAAACATCTCTGTCAATAAGGTAACAGTAGAGCAGTACGTTAGGTAAACGACTCAGAACTGGACCGTGGATCGAGTCATGAGTTCAAATCCTATCAGGTTTAAAAGTTTTTTCCTAGGTATTATTAGTCAGTTCAGCACTTTTAAGGAGAGGACACAAATGTGATGGAGAAAGAAATCTAATTAATAAGAATTTAATTAAATTAAGAATTGCTGTAACTTTTTTTTCGGCAGTCTATGCGCGATTTTTGCTGCGTTTTTGCTATCAATAGCTAATTAGGTAGGTCGTATTCTATATCTGCCGCGTTTTTGAAGTCACGACGTGACGGCAGACTGTGCTCGATTTTTACTGCGTTTTTGCTGTCAGTACTGGTTATGTCAGGTTAAGATTTATTTTTACCGCGTTTCGCTGTCACGATGTGTTAGCAAATAATGATTGATTTTTGTTGTATTTTTATCGTTGTATTATGTTGGCAGGCTAAGCTGTTAGAAACTAAGCTTAATGAGGAAGCAGCAGCTTGATATCTGCTGTAACGTCATGATCAAGTTTGCTGGCATACTGCTGGCATACTGCTAGCATTTTGCTATCCGGGTGTATGTATACAGGGTGTTTGATAATTAGTGAAACATATTCCGTACAGGGGGTAGAATGGACTAAACTGAGAAGAAAAGTCCTATACCATTTTACAACTGTTACAGTAGTTAACGAGATATTAATTTATAAAAATATTTAAATTCTCCCGGCCCACTGTCAAATGCAAGCGCGCGGCTGAATAGGACCGTCCTGCAAAGCACGCCGCGCGCGTTTGCCGTCGCTACGCGATTCATGTCTAGCGAGGACGCTTGTTATAA